CAACACACACTATTATACAGTGCACACATACTGTACACCATCACTACTGGGTACATTGATTAGGTTAACCCAGCCTGACTGAATGTGATACAACACACACTATTACGCAGTGCACACATATTGTACACCATCAACACTGTCTACATTGCCTAGATCAATTGCTAACTCGCGCTGATTATATTTTTGATATTTGTTATTAAAATCTTTTAGTTTTCCTGGAAGGAAACAAAATTTTGAACATTGAAAATGCATTGCCAAACTGTGAGCGGAAATAGTGAAGACATTATTTCCAAACTCATCCATTTTTGTCAGATTATATTTCAACTAAATAAATGTTCATAAATTATAAACTAAAGATTTAAAAGCCTGTCTAATCTGACACTGTTGCAAGTTTTTTCACCTTTTTCATAGTTCAGCTTGCAATAAAGACAGTAACATTCAGTATCGACGCAGGCTGAAAAAATTAGTAATATTAAGTATTAGGAGCTTTTAAATGGATTTATTGGTTTATTAAATAATGTTTCTTTATTCCTTATAATTAAACTTTTTTATTAAGTTCATAACATATTAAAATGTGATCCATTTGTTTCCAAATTTTCATTTATAAATGATAGTGATATAATAATTTACTGAACTCATAAATATAATTATTACACAAAATAAACAAGTTGTGAAGTCTAGAATATGACAACTTTCAATGAATAAGATATTAAGGTAAATTATAAGAAAAAAACTGCTAGCCCCTACCTTCTGTCTAATCTTGTCCCAAGAGCTGGATGGCTTGGATCCTCAAATGATCGATCAAGWGACTCRAGTCTAGCTGAGTTTATTTCTGACCTAAATAAGGTTAATTAAAATTTAAAATTTTAAATACAACAAACAGCGGCAGTACAAAACCATTCGGAAAAGGTTTATGAATATAGACTTGTAAATTTTAAGGCAATACATGTAATGCTCTAGCAGCTACTTGTTTATTCAATGGCATGTTAATACAGTACCTTAGCTCTTGCAAAGAAAGCAAGCTGTCGTCATCTGAATCAGATAAATATGTTGTTCTATTTTCCTGGATAAAATGAAAAAGAGCGTAATGAATATTTTATGGCATTTATTTGAATAATCTGACAGGAACATCTTTTCAATTTTGCTCAAATCTTTCACTTTCAAACAAATTCAACTTACTCTTTTTGGAGAGCTGCTTCTTACATTAGGAGTTGAAAAAAGTCTGGTTTTTAATCTTGGTATTGGAGCACTGTAAGCTCTYTCATGATATGACGGACCAGTATCTTGTTCAAAGTATCTGCGTGTTCTTCTAGGTGGTGGCTCAGAAGCCCTGGTTGGTAAATGTGTGTTTGTTGTGAAGCGATGTTTTAGAAAGTCTCGACCAAACACTTTGTAATATGCTTGACAAACGATGCAATCTTTATGTGGGGTTTTACAGTTGTAGCATGGCACTAGTTGAAGAAAAAACAAAAACAAACTAATTAAGCACTTTATTCCATAGTGAGGACTGCAGAGATGGCGTAAGCTAGTTTATTGTACAATGTGTTCTGATGGACATAATTATCATGAAGATAGATTAACTTACAAGGGTCCCCCTCTGCTGGTAGTGGAGTTCTATTCCTTGACTTCTTACTGTGGGAGAAATCTCTTCTAGATATGATTCCTCTGTCAGCAGTTCCTGCTCGAAATGGTGGTTGTCTCACGGGAGAAGCAGATCTTGGTCTTCTAGTTGGGGACAATGATCTTGATCGACTGACTACYACTCCCTTGTTTTCAGGTCTTCTTGGACATTCACAGACACAGTGGACATCTGAATAATCTGAAGTATAACTGGTAGGATGGATGACAACTTCTTCTTCTGTTCCTGATCTTTCATCAGAAATTGATTCCTAGGGAAGAAAACGACAAAAAAAATTACTAAAACAAATAAGAAATAGAACAGAACAGAACAGAATAGAATAGAACAGGACAGAATAAAATACAATAGAACAGAATAGAATTACATATGTCAGCATTATTTTTTATGCTAACCTCAGAAACATCAGATGAATATCCATTAGCCTCAGGAAAGCCTTGAACTCCTGGTATTGTAACCTCTTGTATAGTGGTTCTTGAAGCAAAGTCTAATTTTGGATCAATACCCTGAGAAGAGATGCAAGTCCAAGTTATACCACAATATCCACCAACTATATAATACACCATCCATCAAATCAAACAGAACGACGGATTGAAATACTCTATAGCATATAATTCTTTTTTTAATATTATCATCATGAACTTACATTGAAATGGACTGTTCTGCTCAGRAGAAGTTCTCTGTCCATACCAGTTTTTCCTGTTAGAGTGGGTGTTGGGTAAAGAAACTCCTTTGCGGTTTGTTTATAGCGTCCAAGTAGTTTACCTCCTGGAAGGTACCATCAATCAATAAATCAATGTCTATAAACATTTAACATTTAGTCAGTCAGTCAGTCAATCAATCTGTCATTTGATCAATCAATCGTTTATCAAATCAATCAATCATTCATTCAGTCAATCAATACATTGCTGATCATCTTAATCAAACAATCAATCAGTCAACAAATCAATCAATCAGTCATCTGTGTTGCCATCAGTCAGTCAGACACACAGTTAACCCATGAAAACAATAAAATTTATCTTGAGAACTACTGTAATCATCAAATAATGATAGAAATGGTTTAGCTTCATCTAGACTTAAGTCTAACCTTTATGATACTCAGAGTACTGTCTCAGCTCCAAAACAATAAATTCATCTGCAATTACAAAATAATAATCATGTCATTATATTATTCAAAAACAAAATAGAACAAAAGTCAAAGTAAACCTCTAAAAAAATGACATTCATTTGATGTATAATATTAATTTTTGTAAAACATACCTTCTAGAATTTCTACAACTTGAGATGGYTCTGACACYGTTGTGAAGGTCTGCAAAGCAAAAAAATATTTTTTTAAGATGAATTTGCAGTTAAACACTTCCATGAAGTTTGGCAGGTGCTAGTGTTACCATGGAAACCAAWAAAGTTTTTAAAATACAGAAACCTACACAACCTAACAACCATTGATTATATATATCTTTTATGATGAAACCAAAATGTTCTCATAGCATTTTATATCTATGTAATCTTACAAATTTATTAATTAGAAATTATTGCTTTTTAAATGGAAAAAAAAATTCAAGAATAAACAATTTCAYCACTGACAATTCCCTTAAACATTGAAACTGAAAATTGTTTTCGTTTACTATTAAAAATATGTTATCATTGGTAGATTTTTCTGAAATCAATTGAACTTAATGAGCTCTAATATTATTCGTTATGCAAATTAGAATGCCTTTATTAAAAMCCAATTATTTCGATTATTTTCAAACAGTTCACGTACTTTCTCAAATACAAATCGCTCGTTGAAGTTCAAAGGGAACGTGGCAAACACTGATTTTGTCCTTCCTGTTTGCCCCAATAGAAAGGCATTGATGAAAACCATATTTCTATCATGAAGATGCAAAGTTCCTGGGCAGGTTACCTACGACAAATGACAACAACAGTTCAATCATATAAAAACTGGCAAAGAAATAGTCGACACTGCAATGAAAWTAAGCACAAAAAATTRTAAATTTACCCTGTAAATATCTAAATCGATGGTACARCTAAAAGCTTTTCGCGGCATGGTTATTTCAGAAGATCAAACACAGCAAACGACGCCAAACCGAAAGTCACCCAAGAGACGCGCTCCTAAACAACACAGGAAGCCCAATGTCAATATGCCTTTCAAGGGTAAATTAAAAAACGACTTTCCAAATTAAAATTTTTAACGTGAGATTATATCAAAAGGTTATTAAAACCGTATTTTATTCGTAAGCATTTCAAAAAAATAGAATAAAAATACTAGCATCTTTTTTTTTGATTAATTAATGAAGTTCGGGCCTCCTGTGTTAGGCCTGGTGACTTAGCACCAACAACATCTGAATCGASTATTTTGATGTTTTTCGTCGACTTTAATCCCGAAACGTTATTAGTTGATCACTTTGCATGATTATTTCGATCGGCACGCATTTCGATTACTTTATAACGTAACTTTAATGGGTTGTCGTTCGTCTACTCAAAGAGAAGAAAATTCGGAAGAACTTTCGAGTTGGAATCGTTCTTCTTTTCCACGACTYTCAGTGCGTTCACATCGTCCTTTGGAAGTCCATCGTCATAACCAACATTTGTATGATGTGGTTATTCAACTCAAGCACGAAGACAAGGATATTTACGCTTGCTGTTTTCCAAGCGACGACGATGGGGTGCTTTTGTCTGCTTCGAAAGTCGAACAAACGACGTTTCTCCGTCATACTCGCGACTTTTCCTCGATAAGATTATGGGACTTGAACCGACGDCAAATTAATACAGGATTTCTGGCTGATTTTCCCCGCTCTTTTCGCTCGTGTGATTTTTCACCAGATGGGCAGCTGGTCGTGTGCGTCTTCAGTGAAGATTCGCTGGCTTTAGTCCGTATGAGATCCTGGAAGACAACGAGCGCCGAGGTTATACACATGAGACGAATATGGCGTAGTCGAGGAAGTTTATTATGTTGTACATTCTCCCCCGAAGGACGATCAATCGTTGTGATCGCGAGATTGGCAGGCAATATCAACCACATTTGTATGATTGACGTCAATTCGCGAAAAATGATCAAAAAGATGAGCCCAACTTTATCGTCGAAAATCCGCGGTTTTGTAAAATCCTGCGTCTTCTCGCCCGACGGTCTCTTTCTTTCCGTGTCAACTTCGAGCGGGCAACTTATTCTGTTTGACATTCAAGATCTACATATCTATGAAAGTTTAGATCTTGACAATCACGTTAGTACGCCGTGTCTGTGTGACCCGTTCCATCAGGGTTCGAGGAGATCRATTACTTTGTCAATGCAGTGTTGGTATTTATTTGATCCCCGCTATGGTCACAAGTATCTGGCATCGTGCCTGGAAGATGGYACCGTTCAAACCTGGACAATGAAAGACGAGCCAGGTTTAACGTGTATTCAAAGCGTCAACGTTCTACAAACACCATGGCAGAAAATTTCCTCTGCTAGCTTCTCTCCAGATGGTTACATTCTTGCTATAGGGACATCAGATTCTAAGATTCTGTGCTTAAACTCTGAAAGCCTTGATCTGATGTTCACTCTCAATGCACACATTCAGCCTGAYGGGTTGAGAACATGGTATCCAAACACTGAGGTATCTTGCTTGGCTTTTACACGTACATGCCAGCAACTAGCGGCAGGTTACAATGATGGGCGGATACGAATCTGGCAGCTCCCCCCTACGATCAACCTCCAACACTTATGCAGACTGATCATCATTAGGTGTATTCCAGCCAATGAAATCCCACGATTACCTCTGCCRTCTCATCTGTTAAGATACCTTCTATATTCACCTTTAAAACACATCTAGTTTACCTTATTTTACTTGAAACAATAGATCATGCTGTGAAAGGATAAAGCTTGTTGTCTGAAGGGCCAGTATTCTAAATGTTGGGATGCTTTTTTCATTGCCTTTGCTAGTCACCGGCAGCCCAGCTATTGCTTACGTGTATATAGAACATCGCATTTATAGTGGATGACYACATGCAAATCCTTGTAAAATTCACTCTGTTCATTTTTGATGTCAACTCTTTGCTACTTTACATTTTAAGCAATTTAGGGTAATCCAAGRTAGCATGGAAAGCTACCCACAATTGTTCTTTTTAATGTGGTGAGAAAAACAAAAACCTTTGCAGGACCTTGTTCAAACTTCCTACAAATAACATATTACTGAAACTGTATATAAACCGAAAGATGTTGTGGTTAAGTGTGGTGTGAGTGATGGCATGTTGTTTTGATAAGAGGGCATTCATTATATCCTTGCAGCACCTAATTTATTTTGTTAAGATTAATGCATTATAAGACAAAGTTACTACTGTTTAAAAAAAATCTGAGTTCCTACAATATCTCTAGAATGTTAGAAGTGTTTTGTGACTCCACATTTTTGGCAAAAATAATACAAATAAAAACATTGTTTAAGAAGGCAATTATTTAACAGAAAAAAAAACAGATTTTCTTGATTCTAGGTTTGGTTTCACCTGTCTAAATAAAGCTTTTATGAGAAAGTTAGCATCACTAGAAACATGTGTCCATATTGTAGGTGCCCACACATTGATCGAATCAACTGTAAAATTGTACAAATTATTTCAAATCCTTTGTCTTCTATTTGTTAATATTAGTGCAGTTTTGTATAATTTTTCAGAAAGAGTTTCATGGATGTAGTAATTGCACACTATGCCAGTCAACAATGTTCGTTTTCTTAATCAAAAATTTATATTTATTTATTATTATAGCTGATCATAGTACGTACTCTCTGATTGGTCAAATGTTATTGTTTATTTCACCGGTAAACACACGGATGGGAAAATGCTATAATATAAAGCAATAAACAACATATTTTGCACTTGGGATATTGGGAACAAATGTGTTGTTGATACACCTTTTCAGTTGCTCTTAGGCCTCAACAGCATGTTGAATATTCTTTTGAATTTGTAGGAATGTGAGCAATACAAACATTGATATGAATAGTCTCATTTGTCAAATTCAAAAGAATAATTAACTTGCTATCGAGGCCTAAAGGTGCAACTGAAAAGGTGTATTGCTTGATGTCATAACAACCCAGTCACAAATTCAATTTTATTGTTTATTTAAATATTTTACCATTGGTCTGGTTACAATGGTATAATTGTAAAAATCTAATATATATAATTCATATGTAAATACTTTATTGCCCAGAATCTTATCCCCAATACGTTTGTKAAATTATTGTTATAGTGATAAATGTAATATATACGTTTGAGAGTTATTAATTT